CTAAAAAATTGGCAAAAAGATCTACATGTTTATTGCCTAAATAACTGTCGCTTAATAAGTCGTCAATATCAGATCTGGAAATCAGAATGTTACCAACAAACAAGATACTATCATCCCTGCAAAAAAAAAAGTATCATAAGCATAAAATATGCATAACATACGCGTTTCATAAGCATAAGTTACGCATATCATAACATAAAATAAGTTGCAATTTTTTTACCTTCGATTAAACTTTCTCAAATTTTCTTGCACAAAATTTCTCTTCTCAGGACTCAAACTCAGAACACCTTTGTAACTTTCTATCTCACTTGAATAGACATAAGTTATAGGATTTATAGGAATCTCATCGACTGCTACTGGTTTAGTTGGATTTGTATATGGAATAAGTTCCATTTCTTCAGGGATTGGTTGATTTTGTGGGATTGGGTTATTGGGGCTGTGGGGAGGGTTATATGATTTATGTTTCTTGTTGGAAGAAGAAGAGTAGCTTACAGATATTTTCTCAGGAAGTATTTTGCTCTGATCAATGTATTTATTGAGCTTGACCTCGATAACTTCAACTCTTTCAGGCCTTTGTCAGCATACAATGGAGCATGAAAAGAAGTATGCTCCATGAACCAAATCTGCATAAGATGAAAGAAAATTTTAGCACTCACATTGAGCCAATAAAATTTTGAATGAATTTAACAGTTAGCACTTAGCACTTAGCACTCACAATTAGTAGAGGTACAAAACCATTGATGTAATCTGCTGACTTCTTATTTGAAATCTTGGAGGATGTCTTATTAAACTCTGCAACTAAAAATTTCCTAATTGAACTAGCCCAATTTATTGACAAAAATTCATCTGGATTATTTGTTATTCTTTGAAGCAACCTAGGGGTTTTGAAGTTGTTAAGTTGAAAAAGTAAATTTGAACATAAATACATGATAAAGTTTCTTAACATAGTCTTGGGGGGGGTTCCTTGTTCATCTCCATCATGTCTGCCTTTATTTCCCCTGATGTAACTGAAGTATGTGCTAAGGAAAGCCAGAAAATTTCTTCTCCTTTATTTGGCAGACCAGTAAGAAGGGCCACTTCATCAGTCGTGAAAGTAATGGCTTGACCTTTTATAACAAAGCATTGTTTTGAAATGTTCCACTTTGAGACCAGCTCATAAATCAGAGGGATATTTTGCTCAAACCCAGGAAATTCCAAAAACTGTATGATATTTAAACGTTTCAATGTATCCTTGACTTCAGAAGTAATTTGCTGAGCAAATACATCACAGTTTGTTCGAAACGTAGAAACGTAGCATCGATAGGTTATTGGACGAACATATATCTGAAAATTTTAAAAAATAAAAAATAAGTAAATGAGATAAGCAAAAAAAGCACAACGTACGCACAACATAAGCAACTTACACGCACAGTGTACGCATAACATACGCACAATATACGCATAACATACGCACAATGTACGCATAACATACGCATAAGAACGAACATATCGTAACATACGCACAATTATACGCACGCATAAAATACGCACAACATAAGCATAGAACACGCACAGTGTGCGCATAAAATACGCACATAAAACGCGTAAATATAAGCAATCTAGGTAGGTTTTGTGTTTCAAATTTCAACATAAATTCATCGAAAACTCTGAATACAGAGAAAACACGGTGGCATCAAAGTATCAAACATTTAAAAAGTTTCGAGAAGCCATGCATACACGTAGAATAAGCATAAAATCCAAAGATCTTCAGAGCCTTGAACACCAACGCATAGCATAACCATAAAATACGCATTAAGAAACAGAAAACTTAGCATTAAGTTACCTTTTTCTTTGGGGGTGACGACATCCTAGAAGAAACTGAGTGAAGAATGCTTGAAATTGCTCCAGAGTGAATGCTTGAAAGTTCGAAAGTTTACTGTGACTTGAAAATCGAAACGTCGACTCCGCCATTCGACCTTTACAAGGGTTTAAATGGTGATGTCACGTCGACATTTCAATAGGTGCGCCACGTCGGCAACTGGGGTCCGAACTGAAAAAAAAAAATTTAGGTTAATTTTTAAAAAGGCGACGCCTTAAATATATGAGGCGAGGCGCGCCTCATTAAACTTGAGGCGTAAGCCTCATAAACTAAACTTATTGCGTAGGCTTTGAGGCTTAAATGGACGAAATTGCGCTGAGGCGCGCCTTTTATTGCGCAATTTTAAACGTTGGTTTAAGTTATATTAGAGGTGGTAAATATGTGTTATGCATTTTTCTTTTTTTCTTTTTTTTTGGCAGAACTTCTAAGCATAGTATATTGGCTCTATATTTTTTAATCGTTTCACATTCCTTCTATCAACTCATATTATTGGTATATCTTTTCTCTATCTTATTCTTGTCAAATATCCTATCTTTTTTTTTACTAGTTTACCTTTAATATGTGTTATTCTTACAATCATTAATAATAATTTTTAACTTTATCCTTTCTAGTTTAACCATGCATTCATCTGTACATTAGTATTTTCATCACACCTGACTTAATTATTAAAATATTTTTATTCCATATACATAAATCTATATAGCAAAGTTGATATAATTGCCGTTTTATAATGTTTTGCATGGTATTCCTTTATGACATAATACTTATGAGTTACTTTAACATCTTGATTACCCAATATTAACTCTAAAAATATCATCATCAATATTCCTATTCTTTTATGTAATGTATCCAATACATTTAAATCTATGACATCTAAGTATCACTTGTTTGTCCACATATTGACTCATAACTATCAATTTTGTGTCCAATAAATTTAAATATCATGCACACCATTTTTCTATTAAGTTTCCTCCATTTTGAAACATCTCACTCCAGAATTTGTCTCAACCATCAACATAGTTGCATATTGATCTGTAGATTAATTCGTTGATGAGCAGGAACATGGAGAATAAGCCAAAAGGACTTAAAATTTCATAAAAGAATTTCATGAGGTTTGAATTATTGTTGAGAAGAATCATGAGGATTGATATGTAGTAAATAATGATCTATTGAAAGCAAGAAGAATTGACGAATCGAGAGAAACTCATAAAAGATCATGGGAAGACGCTAGCACAATAAGCAAGTTACGTCATGGCCAAGAAGATTATTGTCGGCCAGTTATAGTGCTAACATATCTCCAGCGGTCCACAAAGTTAGCATGAAAATTAGCATTGCACCCTCATAACTTCCACAATTAGAGTCATGACCACATTTAATTAATATTTCATTTACTTTATATAGCCAACATTTCCGACTTTATAAAGGAATGGGATACGATTTTGATCCATGAAGAAGATTTTTTCTAGCCTCGAAATAGCAGGAATCAAAAAGTTAAAAGAAAAAGTTCATAGAGAGAGTCTCTATGGAGTTGGAGAGCTACAAAGAGATATGAGATTCAAGGGAGCATCATATTTCTCTTTCTTTGTTTTTTCTTTATTTTTTTGGTTAATTAACATTAGTTTCTAGACGAATATAAAGCAAAAGAGGGTGGCCAAAAATAATTATTCAGTTCAATTCAACGCCTATATAAAAAAACTAATGGTTTTCTTTGGTATCTTTGATTTAATTTGATAGTCTTTTAAAAATTTTGCTCAGCTCAAACATTCAATAGTAATTATACTTCCAACCATCTTTTCCGCTAACTCTCTTCCTTCCTATTCAAGTCTTTAAACTCCATACAAAAAAGGAAAAATCACTAATCTTGGTTATGGACTATCAACTAATGCACACTTTCACCAATGTTACTTGTGGGTGGAGTTCTAACTAACACTTAAATTAATTCATCACAATTTGGTTAAATTATGACATGTCTTTTGGTTTTTGCTTAGCTGATTATTAGAATAGCTTCATATGCTTGTCTTGATTCTGGTTTAGAATATACCCGTTAGGGATGTTGTATTGCACCATTTTATTTATTCAGACAATTAAGTTTAACTGTAGAACATAGTGATCGGGGAGTGTTTTACCAGTAGCAATTAGCAAATGTTAAATTAAGATTCATTAGATGGATTCTAGCTTAGGTTTTGTAATTTTCTTTCAACTTGATATCAACCTCAACTTTTCTCTTTAGTATTGGACTGACAGTGGCAAATTTATGTTGTTTGCTGCTAAGGATGGATAATATGGAGGTTTCTAAGCAATAAATTAAGTACGGCCTGACATGAATTTTTGCCTAGCAAGACTAGTCGTGTTCATATCGGAATGTTGATATAGAAGCATATGAAGTTTTAAATAAACCTTAAACTTTTTTGGCATCATTTCATAGTCTTCCATTATCATGCTTCCATATGGAGTTGGCCGAAAGTTAGAGAGGAAGAAAAGTCCCACAACTAGAACAACAGTGAAGAAGTAACTCCCGGAGTAAATGCTTGAAAAAAATCTGTTTCTTTATTTTATGATCAAACTTCTGTAATTAAAACTCTTAGTCTAATATATATAGTAGTAGCTATAATCTCATGGAAAATCTTATTTGATAGCAAAAAATAACTATGAGGACAATGCCATAGACATGACATTAAATGATACTGATCTTACTGAAAAGCAAGTGACTAAGGGCTGAGGATTGAATTAGCTGACTTGCACCGCATTGCTGGGACCACAAGTTTTCCACATTAGGATGAGCAAGAATACTGCATGGCCAAATGTGGATTAGTTAGAGAACGTGCAGCATGTGCCACACTACATGCATGTCTTCACCCCAAACACGGCCTTTGAATAGGTTCTAAAGTTGTACTTAATAAAAAGTTTAGAACTGCGTAATGTTGCGAATATTTTCATAAAGCGGCAGCATCTGTTTTCAATTTTTAGAAACCACGTTAGAACCATTGCATGACATTTATTATCTCAGCTAAAACATAGGATACATTTAAATTTTTAACCGTCATGGGTCTACAGACTAAATGCGTATATTTATCTATGTATGAAATAACTTTGCGTGCTTGTGTGGTTCATGGAAAACTTATGTCATGTCCTTTTGTTCCAGTACTGGACCACAACCCTTGGAGAGAAGGCTCTAAGCCCGTTTTTGTGCTGACTCAGGGGAACAATCAATTGTGCACAATGAAAACACGTCAGAGTCGCAGGTTTGGTTGGATTTGTATTATTCTTAGTTGCAGAAAACAGAATAATAACAAATGTTGGTTGCTCATATTTTGCAGTGAAGTGGAAAGGGAACTTGGGCTGCTGTTTACTAGAAGGACAAAATGGGATCAAAAAGTTGATAATAAGGTTAAGCATGCTAGAACTGGCACAAAGTTTAATATGCTTGTAGAAGATATTCGGGAGGGAGTGCTTGTAAGTTCTTAAAGTCTTTTATATTACTTTATTAAAATAAGCTCGCTTAGTTACTGCTTAATGCTACCAAGTAACCAATGGCTTCTTCCCTTTCATCGTATGTAATGAAGATCAAATATTGTAATTTAACAAACACTGAAAAGATGCTGTAAGCGTAGAACTAAAAAGCAATAAAGTAATAAACCATGACATCTCATATCCGTAATGAATATTAAAACTTTGAACTAGTAACTAGTTAGTGAATTTATCTGATTTTCAATGTCTCTTGACAAATCGACATCACATGATGTACTTCCAATTAATACAAGAATCTTTATGTATGGAACATGAGTAGTTATATCAAAATCGGACTTAAAAAATCTCTCTCTTGAAGAATCATGAAAGTTGCATCCTGTTTTGCTTTGGCAATGGTTTAATGCTTGTATAATGCAGGTTTTATTTCTTAGTTGAATTTTACTGCACTATTCGTAGTTGTTGTTTTCTAGAATAGTGTTGTTGATGCAATTGTATTGTTGATACTTTATTGTTTATATATTTTTATTATTATTCACTTATGTTAGAAAATTTAGTCAAAATGTCCTTGTGGCTGAACTAATGGTTTAAGTTAATTTGTGGCCAAATATCTTTAGAAGATTTTTTAGATGTAGCGTTTGTGAATAGAAGGATAGAAGAGCATGGATATTAATGCATTTGTAGCAAACCTTTATCCTGAGAATTCCAAATAGTTCCTTATTCTTCAGGTGGCAAAATAGAGGCGATATGGCTTAGGCGGTGTATCTCAAGGAAATAATTGAATATAATTTATCTATGTTTATATATATTTAACTTATGTGAGATATTTACCTTCTAATATAATAGTCAATGGTTCCTAGGATTAAAATTGCTCTTTTTATGATTTTCTCAATCTATTATGATCGCATATGATCATATTTATAGAAATTCTTGCATGATGTGCATGTTGAAAACATTTAAGAGCATCAAAGAGATTAATGCATGTTATGCATTTATACAAGTCATATTATTCATTATTTTATATGATTTTAAGTTAATTCTCATTAATTGCAAGTATAAGACATCTAAATAACATGCAGTGCACACTTGTGTATTTTGACATGCATCATGTTATTATATATGTAATCATTATGAAATGAATAAATGTTTTTGTCAATGTCAAGAAATGAGAAATATTAAAATATTGAGAATGAATTTTAAGGATCCTATGAAAGAATATACCATGTAAGTTGGTGAGCTAACTCTATTGACCTATGTAGGAAGAGATGATTCCTGATATTGGAGAGTTGGCTAAACCCAATCTTTCTTAGAAAAAGATGAATAAAAAAGAATTCCCGACTCTTGATAATGGAGAATTAGTTAGCGCAACTTTTATCAAGATAATAAAAAAGAAATTTCTAACCCCATAATACTTGAGAGTTGGTTAGCTGACCTTTATCGGGGGAAAGCTGACACAAGGGGCTGAAGCCTATAACTAGGGGTGTAAATGAATCGAGTCGAGCTCGAGCCAGGGGGTGTTCGAGTCGAGCTCGGCTGCCAAATACTGAACTCGAGCTCGACTCGTCTCATGAAACAAGTTGAGTCGAGCGGCTCGTCAAGCTACTGCTCTAGAGACGAAGCCCGCTCCCGCTCTTGCGGCGAATCCCGCTCCTGCTCCTGCTCCCGCTCTCGCGGCCAAGTCTGCTGCGGCGACCCCCGCTCTCACAGTGAAGCCCACTCCACTGTCGCGGCCCGCTCTTGTGGCGAAGCCCGCTGCCGCAACCCACGACCTGCTCTCGCGGCGAAGCCCACTCCCGCTCCTGCTACCCGCTCCCGCTCCTCTTACACGAGCTATCGAGTCGAGCAGCCGAGTGTTCGAGCTCGATTAGCCGTCGAGCTTGAACTCGTGTTCAAGCTCGACTCGCGAGCTCAATAACCTCAACGAGAAGTTAACAAGTCGAGCCCGAACCGGCTCGCAAGCTGGCTCGACTCGGTTGCACCCCTAAGCCTATAAGCATGAATGACATTTCTAAAGTTATGATTACTAAGAATTAGTGAAAGGATGAAAATAAGAAATTAATGTTAGTTTTATGTTCATATAATAATTATGTTGATTATTTCTAATTTAATTTTCCATGCAATAACTAATAACACATGCATTAAATTAACATATAATTCATGAAGCTGATTATGCATTATTGAATATGGATAATTGTTAGCATATATGAGTGTAAAATTTTTACGTCATTTTATGTGTTTTTTTATTTTATATTTGAATTATTTCTCTCGTTAAGCTTGCAGCTCATTCGTTTTTTATGCTATATTTTTAGGAAAAGGAAAAGGACACAAGGAATTGTGAACATGTAACTAGTTTTGCATTATATAGCGATATGTTAAATATGTAATGTTAGAGATTGTAAAATGATATATATGATGATGTAAATGGAAGACATTGAGTGTGTATGAGTTTATTTTGGAAGTTGTATTAGAAGCGCTATAATAGTCTTAATGATTATAATTATTTACACTTTCATTTTAATATATTAGATGATTATAAAATATTAGGCATATTTTGGATGATCAGGCTAGACTTTTTCACTCATCCTATCGTGTGGAATTAATTAGGATGGGTGTAGTGAAAACTATATCCGTGCAGATTGTCCACTTCTTCTATGCCACATGATTGCTTGGAATGGAGGTGAAAATGGGGCGTGATGCTATCATTTTCACACTAAAAAATGGTTTGTGCACTTTGAAAGGAAAACCATAATCATTGCATCAATGAAAAACATCTAATAGTAAAATATCGTCATTATTGAAAATAAAATGGTCAACTTTTAAAGTTATATTTTTCGTATCAGAAAAATAATGTGTACATCAAAAGAAAAATAATGCTAACATAAACTTCCTCAAGCATACTATTTTTTAAGTAAATGCTAGTTGAAGAGTCTATTAGATGTAAGCCTTTATGATCAACCAACTGAAAAGATTCATCCTTGTGTATTTTTTTCTATCACAAACTTTTCAGCTAAAGTTATAGGTTGAACTAACTTATCTAATATGTCTGACCCCACATAGTAGGATTAAGGCTTGATATTGTTGATGTTGTTGTATTTCGATGCCATAGTGCCATACAACACCCCAAAAAACACTTTAAAAGATTCATCTTAATGTCATATCATTTTAGGTTCTCAAAAATAATCTGCAAATCTTGTAAATGATTCTTATTATATTGGTTTTTAACCACCAAATTATCAACATAGCATTCCACTTGGTTGTGTATTAGTTTGTCAGATATGGGGTTATCGATAGTTGGTAGGTAGGTCTTATATTTTGAAAATCACAAGGCATGACATGGTAAATATATACCAATTGGAATCTTCAAGGCTATGAACTTCTCATTATTAGGGTTTATTTTTATTTGATCATAGCCATATAAGCCATCCTTAGAAGCAATGGAGGAGCAAGGGTTTTTTCTTGTTGGGGCATAAATCATTGATTTTAAAAAAAAATTAAAGGCATCATTATAAAAAAGATAAATTATATATATATATATATATATATATTATAGTGGAGAATATTTGCTCTTCAAATTTTCAATACATGTTACTTACAATTTCTCTCTTTGAGTCTTTATATTTTAAAATCATTGTACAATCTTTTCATATTAATGATTTTAAAGATATCTTTTTCAATATATGTAATCAGACAATCATTTTTCCAAGAATCTCTCATATGATTGCGTAAATGTTTTTTTACAATCTTCATAGCTGAGAATGTTCCTGTAGGCTCCAAAATTTTTCGCCTCGGCCTCTTCGTGCCTTTTTTGTTGACAATGATAATTTTATTGAATTAAGCTCTAGGGTAAATTTTTAAAGTCATTTTTAGATAATATATTAACAAGAGATTTCACTTTCATTTTGTGAGGACTTTATGATTTGAGATTCAGTTTCTCATAAGTGTAAGATTCTATCTTTAATTAACCCTCCCGATAACAAGAGAGAACTTTCGATTAAGGCTAGTGGTTAGATAGGCACTAGGTACCCAGTGTATAGTAGCAGCAGTTAACCCTCCCGATAACAAGAGAGAACTTTCGATTAAGGCTAGTGGTTAGATAGGCACTAGGTACCCAGTGTATAGTAGCAGCAGCTTTCAGAGTTTGGAAATTAGATTTTTGAATTTTTCAAGATTTGAAATTTATCACCATACATAAAGCGAGTGATGGGGGAATAATGACAGGCCCGATCAATATCTCATGGTTCTGTCATCCCAAGTTGCTGTGGTCTCTAGTCTACTCAGTCAAATGAGGTAGTCGACTCAACTTGGCCGAAGGATCCTTATTGGCAGCCGTGGGTTGCGTCATCTATAAGGTTTTGTAGACTTGTGGTGAATATTTATCAAAAGGTACAAATTTGAGTCCACCTTAGATAACAGAGGGCTTTGTATCTTATCGATTATATCATATTGATTCATTACTCAATGATTTAAAATCATTGGGGAACATACGAGCTCTGACCTTGATCATAATTTAATGGTACCGTTTAACGACAAAACCACTTAGTTAGAGAGCCCCGATCATAATCATTTATATGTGGTGTTTTTTGCGGAGAAACTATTGTTAGAGGACATGTGTCATGTCCTTACTGGCGGGAGATGATTTGATAGTGAATCTTAATGATAGTCTCGACTGGACATTCGCTCTTTGTGAGCTGAAATTATACTCAAATTTATTACTTCCAACAAACAATTGTGAAAGGCGAATGAATTTTTACTTTAATTTTTAGGTTTTAAATTTCCCTTGCATATTTTAAATTTTAAATAATATTAGATTTGAAATTTTATTCAAACTTGAGCCACTAACAATTAATTTTGTGATTTTGGGGCATTTCTTTGAAATTTATATGGATATGTTGAAATTCACATTCAACACAATCATCATCGAGGTTACATGAGTGTCAACTTAAATGTTTGTCTTTCCATTAGAGTATACTGGTATTTTGAAAGCTAGGGTCTCCTCCGGTTAAGATCTTCTATCAATATAGTCATCATCGGGGTGACATGTAAGTCTCCTTAAATGTGACTACTTTCATGAAAATTTGAAAAGCATTTGAAAAATATGGGGTCTTCTTCGGTTGAGATTCATTGTCAACACGGGCATCATCGGGGTGACATGAATGTCAACTTAAATATTTATATTTCCATAAGAGTTCATGTGTATTTTGAAAGCCAGACTCTCCTCCGATTGAGATCTTTTGTCAATGTAGCCTCACCGGGGTGACATGAAAGTCTTCTTAAATGTGTGTAGATTCATTTTCAACACACCATCATTAGGGTGATATTAAGGTCAGTTTAAATTTTTTTTTTTAATATTTTGTATTAGGGTTTGGAGTGTTTTGGATGGCAAGATTCCCTCCAGTTGAGATTTTCTATCAACACGATCATCATCGGAGAGACATGAAAGTCACCTTAAATGTTTGTATTTTCATGGAAATTTGGGAAATCTTTGAAAAATATGGGATTCCCTCTTATTGCGATTCACTATCAACACGATCATCATCAGAGATTTTAAGTAATTTCATTTTTATAGTTCAAACTCTGTCAACTCTATTTGCCCGTTAACAGAGGATCGGGTTAGACACTAATTTTGGGGATTATCATATATATGCTGAAATTGAACTATTATATATCTGGTTATAAATTAGGGTTGTCAAAATCGGGTTGCGGGTTGTGTTCGGGTCAAACTCGATTTTAACCCACTACTGTTTGATAAATTATCCAATTTGATCAAATAAAATATAGAATCTTAATGGCGACGACATTCCGGACGCAACAGTGCCATCCGTTTGTCGTTCCGACGTCGTTTGATCAGCGTCATGTTTTAATTTTGGGTGTCGGTCGTCCCTTTTGGATGATCTCATCCGGTTTGACTTTGAGGGGCCTCGACCTAATAGAATTCAATGTTATGATCGCAATGCCATTGTTTGTTTGGCAATCAGAGGTCGTTTGACCCTTCAAGTGACGTGCATCGCTAAGGCGTGTATCGCTTTATTCATCAGTTTGTGTCCTTTCTCGCGTGGTTTGAGGTATAGGGGTCAACATGAGTCCAAGTTTAGGTCAACTTGAGTCCAACTCAAGTCTTGCACAAATTCTTGCTTGAGTTTTGCTTATGCCATTTGCTTACTTATTCAAGTTTGAATTTAATTCAAATGATGTCCAAATGAGATTCAATATGATACCTGTGCACACGAAGGCATTGATGAAGCCAACAATGACGGAGCAAACTTGTAATGGAAGTAAAATAAATTTTCTTCTCTTTTCTTTTTTTAAGGTGAAAAGAGAAATGACTTTCTTTTAGAGAGTGAAAGGTGTGAGAAGATTACTTTCTCTCTATGTAGAGAGGAGGATTTTTTTCTATTTTTAGAAAGTGAAAGAGGAAGGTGAATTTTTTGGGTGAATAGGTTGAAAAAAAGAAGAGATTAAGGTGGAAAGAAGAAGAGAGAAAGAGATTGAAGAGGGAGAGAGAGAGAGAGAGAGAGAGAGAGAGAGAGAGAAAGAGCGAGAGAGATTGAGGGGAGAGGGAGAGAAATATGTAGAGGAAGTAGGGGTGTAAACGAGTCGAGTCGAGTCGAGTTTTGGCTCTTATCGAGCTCGGCTCGTTAGATAAAAAGCGAGCTCGAACTCGAGCTCGTGTCACTGTTAACGAGCTCGAGCTCGCGAGCTCGAGCAGGCTCGCGAGCCGGCTCGCCAGCCATGGGCGGGAATTTTTAAATTTATGCGGGATTTTTAAAAATTTTTAAAATTAGGCAGGATTTTTAAACTTTAAGCGGAATTTTTAAAACTTAAACAAAATTTTTATAAAAATATGAAATATTTCACTTTTAAATAAAATTTAGGTGATTATTATTATAATTTTTTAATATTTAAATTTAATAAATAAAATAAAATTATTTTTAAAAATATTAATATTTAATCGAGCCGGCTCGCGAGCTCACGAGCCAAGCCGGCTCGAGCTCGAGCTCGAGCTCGTTTACTAAACGAGCTCGAACTCGAGCTCGA